GCCCAAAAGTTATGAAAGACATCGTTAAAATAGTCCGAGTGACGACAGTGGCTCAACCTTAAGTTTATCAAGCGACCAGAATACTTTTTGTGCGCAAAAAACAAACAAAAATAACGACTTTATTCAACTATTCATTTCCTTCTCTATACGGCTGTGATATTTCACGTAGTGTAACTACGCAAAGCTTCTAGGTTGTAGTCACGCATCACATGACCAGCGTCGGCCAATAGTGAGCCTGCGTGTGACGTGCAACCTAGAAATCTTGCGTAGTTTCACTACGTGAAATATCACGGCCGTACAGAGAAGGAAATGAATAGTTGAATAAAGCCGTTATTTTTGCAACGTATTTGTGGAGTGGAGACATTGCAACGACAACAACTCCACAACAATGACAGCAAGAAACTAGAGCTGTGCGATTTTAGTGCATTTCTTTCCTTCACAGATCTGCGCTTTCATTCCTCCTAAAAGCCCAAGCTTGACATCCAAATCAGCTAGATTGATTGTTTGACAATTTGATTGTGGTAAAATACAGTCTGTTGCTAAACTGCAGGATGTAGTCGATGATAAAATAGAGTTACTAAACACTGTCGGTTATGAGGTAACATAAACAGTTGGGAAATAAGTCGCATGTGTAACAGTATATAGGGATTCGGTCTTAAAGTGACAGTAGCCTAATAAACCTGCTGCTGTCTGTGTCATTAATCTTAATCAAACAACAAAAGACAAAGAAAAAAAATCAATCACTGCTCTTTAGTAGATTTATTAGGATAAATCTACACTTCATACAGTGAAGGCTACGCAGTGTTGTTTTACATTTGATTGACTGTCTCTTTGAATTGACTTTCTGTTGATAAAGAGTGTTCTGTTTACTATTATTAGGGTATGTTGCACACGTTTCTTGCCAATAATTAATAAGATGTGACAAGGTTCTCTCACAGTTATGAACAAACGTACTTCCAGTAACATTAATAGCGTTTGTTCAAAGTTATCTGGTCTTTAATAATGTTCTCAAAACGTTAGCACAAAAACATTATTTATAAATTGTTCATGGAAGGTTTTTTAAGAAACATTTTAGTTGGACGTTTGTCTAATGTTTTTAAATGTTACAACTGGTTTCCGAACGTCCAGAGAACATTCAACATTCCATAAGAATGATGAAACGGAATGTTCCCTAAACGTTCACATTACCAAGAAAAAAAATGACATTTTGAACATTTTGTTGATTTGGTAAAAAAAAAAAAAAAAATCCATGTAACACAATATCAGATAGACATAGAGGGATCTTTAGTATTTGCAGGAAAGTTCCCATCTAGGAACAACAAAGAACACTCAAAAAACCTAACAACCTCAAAGAAAAAATACTCACAAAATACAGCAAGCTTATATTCCCGTATAGTCATATACTGAATAACCCGATGCTTAACTAAATCCCGTCTGCAATATATTAATCAGGAACATTTTCAAATGTGATCAAGCGTGTTTCATGTTCAGAAGGTGTGTGAGGCTTTTCTGTCGACAGAACCACAGACTCAAATCAACACAAGCATCTTACTAAAAGCCCCAATGGAAAAATGATTTCCGCAGTAAAAAAAAAAAATCTTTTGAAACTTTTAACACACTTCCAAATAAAACTTCATACCGACCAGTCGAGACAAGTATGTATTGAGGGAATGACAGCATGAAGGATTTGGAAAAATAAACAGAATAAAACACTGTTCTCTTTGTTTAGATTTTCACTGGAAAGTTCTATAGAGCGCTTTAGTTCAGACCGTGCAAACCGACGCTCTCTCCGCTGTGACCGCTACCACATGTTATATTAATATTTTGATCCATTATTACAGATAAAGTGTTGCTCTAATTGATTGATTGCCCCGTTCTTCAGTAAACATCCAAGTAATGCTGTGCACGCTACAGAGAATGATGAAACATGCCACACTTGATTATGTTGTTTGTCCAAGTATTATATGGACAACAAGCAAAATAAATACAATAATCAATCTATTGTCCACATGTTCAATTCAGCACAACCAAGCACAACAACACATCCGTACAAATCGAGAAATTGTGTTCAGCGAGTAACTAAGTCTATAAAAACCTTAAATAAAAGTGACTTTTAAGAGTTAATATTTAATAAGGCTATAAATTATAGCTGCACAAATCTGGATAAATTGAGAATCACAATTTTTTTGTTTCAAACTGAGATTATGATTCTGAACAAACAACTAAACAAAATAACAATTGCTACAATCTATTTAAAAATGCTTAAAGTCCCCATGTAGTCAATCATTTTATCCTTTAAACTCATCTTTGATCACCAAAATGAAATTTTTTCCTTGAAAAAAAAATTCTCCATGCCTTAAAATATCTTGAATGTAACTCGACACCCTTGCCTCATTTAGTATACGCGGTTCTATGAATATGCAAATGAGCCCCGCCTCCACTCACTCACTCAGCTCAGAGATCCACTGGTTGACGATCACAGGTTGATCTGATTGGTTACAAGGTCGTTTGTGACGTCAGAAACACCAGCGATTTGTTTTTGAGACTGTCTTTGGTTCACTGCAGTTTAAAGCAGAAAATACTCAGCAATGCTGTCGACTTATGAACTTACACATGGTGTGTCTTAAAGCATATTAAAAACACCACATACACACATAAACTACATTAAAAGCTGGACTTTCACCACAGGGGGGCTTTAATTGATTTAAATGAATTATTATTATTTTTAAATCTGTTTGAATGAATGATTTAATGACTCACTCTTTCATTAGAGTAGCGATCTGAAAGCATACAGAGCCGTCTAATACTCTCTAATCGCTCAGGGTCTTTAATGTCATACAACGATCGTTTCAAGTCCAACTAAAGACTTCTTTGTTTCATTTCTGGATGAATTAGCGTTTTTTAAAAGAATCTTTTGACTGAATGATTGAATGACATTTTCTAACAGTCACTAGTCGCCACCTACTGGTGTAACAATGTAATGATACAATCTTTATTTGAAGCGTCAAGTTACTTTCAAAAGGTGATTTACTCGTACCATAGACATCAGTGTTTATATCCGAACTGTAAACTTTCAGCCAGCTACTTCTGTGACAATCTGATTTATTGTAACACAGAAATAATCACACTGTGTGTGTTGAAAATACATCAGTTTCATATCTATAGGCCTACATGACAACGGCTCTCTCTGGGTCAGAACGCAGATCTGAATGTTTGCTGTGATCGTACTTTTTACAAGTTTAATAGACAGAGACAAATATCGTTGTCATTTTGTGTGTTTGAATCGAGATCGCCATCTTTTAATAACGATTAGTCGTGCAGCGTCTCTACAGATTATTCAGCAGTTCAGTCTAATAAAAACCTATTTTACAAATATGTGTGTGTGTGCTGTCTGTGTGTGTATTGCTGCAGTATCGTATTGTTAGCATCAACATATTAACATCTGATTGTAAAACATGTGAGTCGTGTTTAACAGCGTTTAAATGAACCATGAGGTTTCGTTTAGTCCAACAAGGCAAAGATTTAGAGAGTGATTTTTTCCTGCTTCTAATTATAAAAGTCACTGAAATTTCATCCTAAAACGACACTTCCGAACTGACACTCAGCAACACTTTTTTAATCATCAATTTAAAGTTTAAATAGTGTTTTAAAGACGTGCGTTAAACTGTGTTTTAGATCAATCTTAAAACACTGTATTTGTGCATGGAAAGAAGTGTTTTCTGCGTTGAGCTCATGTGCTGTTTCATAAATTAATAGTTTATAGTCATTTCATATAGCAGCATGTCACAACATGCAGGTTTAACACTAGAACGCTAAACACATTTTATAATGTTAGAGAATTTCAATACATCATTTTACACAGTTGTTATTGCCTGAGAGCGTCATAATGCACATTGATATCACCGTGTTTATTGACAGTGACATATATTTGCATGGAGTTACTGTTAATCACAGCATTGCGCGTATAGCCGTGTGTCATAATCAACGTTCATACATCTGTAAAGGTCAGTGTCATTTCGTTGCATTATGCATGCAGTTATAATAGCACTGTTATGCAATGAGAAACAGTTTCACACATTGCTTCCAGATTTTATCGCCCACTTCTTTTTGAGTGGAAGTGAAACCCTTTTCTGAACAGCTGAAAATGCTGATGATCACCACAGTTCATTTAACTTTACTGTGATGTAACATGCAAATATTTGCAGCTCTTAAGTTTTTAAGATCATGTTTTAAATAAACAAAATAAACTGAGGCGAAGACACTAATACCACATTCGGGTGATGGATATATCCAACTGTAAAACTGGACTTGAACCCACATTTATACATTTTGAATCTAAAAAAAATAGTGTATTGCTGCCCATTAGCACACATGCATCCGTTTCACTGATTACAAGCTTAGTGTATTGTGTGTGACACCGGACAATACAATGAAATAATAAGGTAGGCTAACAATGATGAAAATATGAATGTGCATTTGCACCACGCCCGCCCTACAGTGACTCAAAATTATCTCAAAGCGGAAGTTTCTCTTATGTAACACGAACTTCAGTGTTGAGTCTGTCTGTCTGTCCCATCATCAGTGAACATTCCCTATGTAGGCTACAACTAGAGATGGACATGCCTGAGAGAAATGCGTTCAAACTTGGAAATAAAGAGGTATTTAGGTTGCAGAACGCATGCATGCGTTGAATGCAACACAATCTATTGTTGTTATTTTAAATAAATACGCACGTTGCTGATGTTGCAATGCACATTCTGTGCTTGCCTTACATACACTCGGTCTGTGTGTCAAAGCCTAGCGAGTTCCCTAGATAGACAGCATTTTTGCGCATCACTGAATCGGAGCGCGCGCACGATGTCCATGAATGCTCCTGCGCGCGTCCGATGCGCAAAAACGCGCTCCGCTAGGCGTCTCTCTGCGCTTTGAGACACCGCCGAGGAGAAATGCAGAGCCTAGGACTCGAAGCCGTGCAAAAGTTGTCAAAGTTGGCCTCTTACCTGACTTCGGTCTCGGGGTGAGCGAGTGGAGTCCCTTTGTGACGTCAGCTGGAGGTCGCGAGTAGATCTTGAAGAGCGGGAATCGTTGCATCAGCTCGAGTCGCGAGCGCTGATCCCTGATCGGGAAGAGCGAGGAATGCGGAAGTCAGACGTCAGCAGGGAGGATGAGAAATGAACTGCAGGGAAAACACTCATGGAGAAGTGGAGAAGTGAGGAGCAGAGACTCGCTCCACCCCTTAGAAACCAGAAAACAAACATTCCGTTCCCCGTCAGCGCTTTACATCAAGCAGGAGTCCGTTCACCAGTATAGCTAACGCATCAAAAAAGGGTCCTCCTCTTTTTTAATGGATATATGAATATAACTAGTTTTAAACTGCAGTATAGCTTGACCCTGCAATCCTGGAGGCTGCAGTTTCAGGACTGCAAATAAATAGGACCATATCTTTTCCTTTTATTAGGGGAGACCGGGGACAGTTGCAACACTTTTTGCATTTGGCTCTGTTACTCAGATTAGACAAACCACATGTTTATACAATAAACTTACATCTGTATGTTAATAGTCTAAACCATTTAAAGATAATTTTACAGAATATACTTTTTTCACAATTTGCATTTGAATGTAAGGAGTCCCGGGCCCGGGGACAGTTGCAACATTGTTTGCGGATTTGTTGCAACATGTTACAAATACAATATATTACAATATATGCCAGTGTTAGCAAAATTATTATTATCAAAAATGTAAGTTATAAGAATATTACAGTGTTATAATGTTATTTATTCATCAGCTTTGATTAGATTACAATTATAGATTTGTCTAGATGAGTATAGGCCTTGTTATGTGCAGATGTCAAATATTCAAATTGATATAAAATACAGTAGGCTTTTAGTGACATAGGAAGAATGGAACAATTTGTGAGGCAAATAACTTTTATTTAGCCTATTTTCATGTAAAACATTTTTTTTAAAACTATATTTTATATTATAATTTTTCATTTTAACAATATGTTATGCATGGTCACAGGCACGTGCACACACACATGAACAGAAACCTCCTGTCCTTGCTCCAACTTGATGATCTATATTATATTTAAGTAAAAACTTATGATTTTTTTTTTTTTTTTAAATACTGCATGGTCTGTTTTTATATTTATGCATTGTACCTGTCAGCCATGATAAAACCTCATGTGCTAGCTAAACAATTGACCTTGATACATAACCATTCTAGCTTAAAGTTAACATCACTCATTTAAACCATAAGTTTGAGCTGAATCACAAAAACAGTGACAACAGTTTAACAAAAACAAAGCTCAAGAAAAGAAATACTTTCATACTTTAAAACAGTTTTTCTTCAATAGATCCTGGAGGAGCGCAGGAATCTCCTTGATTTGGGCATCCAATTGAGCATGAGCAGTGTGAGTGTCATCACTCTTGTTTCTGATTGGAGAAAATGACATGTTGCAACTGTCCCCGGTCTCCCCTACTAGCACTTTACTTTATAGGCTACTTCTCCTCCTAAACAACCCATAACCCTAAACATAGCATCATTTTTTACCTAATTTGTTTCAGTTTTCTTGAATTTAAAAAGACTGATACTGGGAATGTTAGGAAAACCAAACTAACAGGGAACGTTTTGTTTACATAAATAAAACATTCTGGCTAACCAACAGAGAGCGTTAGGATGTGTGTTCTGGGAACATTATGGCAACCAAAAATTGTTAGCTGTGCGTTGCTAATCCTCCTGAAAAGTTTAACCTAATTTGTTTCAATATATGAGTTCAGATTCTGGTTTTAAATCCAGTTTTCTTGAGGAAAAGACCCAATTTTTCAACACAGAAGTAAGGAATTTATGTTCGCAGTGTGATGTTTTTCATCTGGTGTGCGACCAGCTTAACAATAAACTTATTTGCACTACAAACTAGTGTGTTTATGATTACGATAATAAATAAAAATAATATGACTACCGTATATATATATATATATATATATATATATATATGTGTGTGTGTACAGATTTTTTTTTTTATTGACATAAGAACGATCAGATAACAACAGATGACAGCATGAGTAAATGAGACAGTACAATCAATTTGAATATGAAGTACAGTAGAGAAAAAAAAGTAAATTAAATTACATCACTCAACATATTATCATACATTTTCACAAATTTGGCACTTTTTTTGTTATTAATTCTTTTTAGTGTCTTAATAAAATAATTGAAGTCACAGAAAAAAATATTTAATTTGGGTACTCTTAAACAATATTTGCATTTATGAATGAAATATTTTGCCAATAAAAATAAAAATATTTCCTATATATTCTATTTTATGATTATAATGCGAAAAATAACAAATTACATCACCCAATGTTAAATCAATTTCCAATTTTAGTTTCAAAGCTAGGAGTTTTGACAGTATGTGTAGTTCTTAATATTTATAAGGTAAGAGCCATGCTTTTAATTGTTAAATTATTAATTAATCTTTTCTATCAAGGAATCCCCCCCCAAAAAATTATACCCTCGCGGGGTAATTCGTTTTCTTGACTGAAACACATTTCTTATAGTTTTATTGCTACATTTTGGATCGTAAATACTTTTGCCTTCAATCAGACATTTCTTTTCACTCTTTACAATCTCTTCAAATGATAAATGACATTTCATTAAATGAACAAGACCATTTGGTATAGCTTTTACCATGGTAAGAAATTCCTTATGAATAACCGGGAAATTATATTTAGACATGAAATCATAATAAGCATAAACATTCCCTTTTGAATCTAACATATCACAAAGATAATCAATACCTTTTTCATGCCAATTCTTAAGAAACATCGACTTGTTCTTGGCAAGAATATTTTCATTGTTCCATAGCTTTTCTTTATGTGGGGAGAAGTTGTGGACAAAGCAAAGTTTCCATGCTAGAAGAGCCCGTTCGTGGAATTTAGAAAGTTTTATAGGGATCTTAGAAGGGGAGAAATTACAAGTTAACAAAAACTTATATTATGTGGGATAAAATACCAAATAGACTCTGGTGAATTGACACAATTCTTTACCCAGTAAGTATAAAAAAAATCCAACATATCAAAACCTCCAATCTCTTTTTTACCACATAAAACCTGTTTCTTCAGATGTTGATGTTTGTTTTTCCAAAAAAACTTAAACAATAAACTATTGATTTGTATACAGGTATTATCATGGACAAATAACGAAAATGATGGATATATAAGTCGAGCTAGACCTTCAGCTTTAATTAAAAGAACTCTACCAAGGAAAGACAAATCTCTTTGAAGCCAACTGTTAAATATATGTTTAGCTTTTTTGATTTTAGGGAGAAAATTCATATCTTGTCTAAAAGATAATCTTTTGGAGATATGGATTCCAAGATATTTCACATTATCTTTAATGGGTATATTTTCCACAGAGGTTTCCATAGTGTCGAATAAACAAAGAATTTCACATTTGGGAATATTTAAATTAAGACCAGAAGCCATTGAAAAGGCAATAATTGTTTCAAGAGCCTTGCCAACCTGATTTGTGTTCTCTAAGAACAGGGTTGTGTCCATTTTTATCTCACGGTCAAAAATGGACACCCCTTTAATATCAGGATGGTTACGAATACTCAGAGAGAGTAATTCCACAACTCACACAAACAAAAAAGGGGAGATTCCACAACCTTGCCTCACTCCCCTATTAATAGGAAATCTATTAGAGGTATCAAATTGTAAAAGAACCGAGCTATTAATATCCTTGTATAACATATTAACCACTTTGGTGAATTTCTCTCCAAAGCCAAATAACTCTAGTGTCGAAAATAGAAAATTGTGCTCAATGGTGTGGAACGCTTTATAAAAGTCTAGAAACAATATTATTGCATCCGAATTAATATGATGTGCATAATCTATGAGATCTTTAGCCTGATATGCTTATATGTCGTTTAGGCATCGTTTAAGCCTGTTTGTGTTTCATTAATTATCTCAGATAAATCTTTTGGCAAATGTGTGTGTACAGATGTGTGTGTACAGATGTGACGTAATGATGCATGCTCGTGAACACTGGCTGATTATGTATTTTCTCAAATATGTATTTTGGATAATTTTTTAACCCAAAAAAAGCTACGGACTGCAGCTTTAAATATTGCACTTAAATGCAATCACTTGGTTTTGTTTCACTCTGAAACATGAAATGTGGAGTTATCTGCTTTTGCTAAAAAACAAACTTTTAATATATAAAAAAAACAGACTATCAATGACCTTTAATTTAGTAAGTTATAATTACTTAAAAAAAAAAAACCCAACTGTAGTTTGATTGATATTACTTGAAATATGCACAATAAAAAAAAACACGATTTATGAAAATGTATAAAAATCTGTTTTTGCAAATGTCACATGTCAAATATTAAGCTGTACTTTCTATCAGCAATTTATTTAGAAACAAAGGACACAAGAACACCAGTGCATGATTGTATATCGTGAATATTTATTCAGCAATCAATGCTCTTTCTTTTCTTTTCATTTGACAAAGAAGTCAAATTTAAAATGTAGAAAAATAAATTATCATAAAATACATCTCCATCGATATAGCACTGGATGTTTTCATGGAAAACTCTAAACATTTAAGAACGATGTGAAAACACAGTCGAATGATGACACTGAGGTATGTGATAACTCTGATGATGACTGTATATTAAAGCACAACACGAGTCGATAATCTATTGCCATAGAAAACAAACACAAAACTGCAGTCAATTCCACAGAACTTAGCACCAGATCAAACAAATATGGAACTGATACATATATACTATATATGTTATATATATTTATATATATTCATGATATCTTGTGCATGCTTTTCAAACCAGAACATAGTTCATATCTGCTCGAATAAGATAATTGTCCATGCTCTTGTATTTGGGCTACATCAAATGTATCTGGAAGAAAGTAATACCCCGACCCTCACATTGTACATGGAACAGCTGGCTTAAATGGGAGCGTGTTTCCGCAAAGGAATAAAAAAAAAAAAAGTAATTGCGACTTTTTAAATCTCACAAATGTGACGTTTTTAATCTCGCTATTGTGAGTTTACATCTCGCAATTTGGACTTTTCTTCTCAGAACTGAGAAACAAACTCACAGTTGTGAGTACTAACGTCTGAATTGCAAGATTTAAACTCATAATTCTGACTCACAATTGACTTTATTTCTCAGAATTGCTAGATATATATAAAGTCGCAATTGAGTGTTATATAAAGTCAGAATCATAGATATAAACCCGCAATTGCAAGTTATAAAGTCAGAGTTTTAAGGGGACTTTTCTTCTCAGAATTGATCAATTAACTAGTAAAAACTAAATTTAATAGTAAAAATGTCTCAATTGATGATTTCTCATCTCGCAATTTGGACTTTTCTTCTCAGAACTGAGAAACAAACTCACAGTTGTGAGAACTAACGTCTGAATTGCAAGATATAAACTCACAATTCTGACTTTTATAACTCACAATTGACTTTATTTCTGAGAATTGTGAGATATTAAGTCAGAATCATAGACATAAACCCGCAATTGCAAGTTATAAAGTCAGAGTTTTAAGGGGACTTTTCTTCTCAGAATTGACCAATTAACTAGTAAAAACTAAATTTAATAGTAAAAATTTCTGAATTGTGAGATATAAAGTCGCAATTCTGAGAAATTAAAACTGAATCGCAAGATATAAACTAACAATTCTGACTTTATAACTGGCAACTTTATTTCCTTGGAAATGTGAGTTATAAATTTGCAATTGGGTGTTATATAAAGTCAGAATCGCAAGATATAAGGTCATTTTTCCTTTTTCAGAATTGTGAGTTTATATTTACGCAAATTCAGACTTTATGACTCCCAATTGCGGGTTTATAACTTTACTGTATTTCTCAGAATTGTGGCTATTTCTCAGAAATGCGAGTTTGTATCTCGCCATTTGGACAATAAAACTCGCAATTGCGAGTTTATATTTCACAATTTGAAAGCATTGTAAACTCGCAATTGTGAGTAAAAAAGTGTCCGAATTGTGGGCTACTTTTACACTGTTGCCGCCCAGTTTTTAAAGACCGCACAAATATTACCGGGAAACCCCTCTGGAACATGATTGGCCGCTTGTTTTGGCCATGATTAGGCTAGATTTGATTTGCAATTGGGCAGGTTTTGTTGTGCAGACCTTGCAACCCTGATTGTGGGATAAAAAGTCGCAATTACCTTTTACATTTTTTATTCCGTGGCGGAAACAAACTTCCACAGGCTTCACACCAACATCACACATCTGGACGTCATAACACTGCGATATCCAATAGATATTAAGAACAATATCGTGACATTACATCATCTACACTTGCATTTATAAGGCGAGAAGGGTTGGAGAGTTGAGGATATCGACGCCAGATTCTGCTTTGGTCACGCCACCTTTGCAACCGTCCAGTCCCTCGGCCAGGGAGTCCAGCTCGGGGCAGGCGAAGGTGAACACAGACAGATAGTTGCTGCAAGAAGGTGTGGAAGAGGTCACCACAGGGGTGCTCAAAGGTTCGAGGTCATTGGCCACAGACTTGTATAGGGTTTCCCAGTCTGTGATGCCCAGCGAGCCGGTCAGGTCAATGTCGGGGACGGAGCGAGCCGAGACCCGGTCCTCGTCGACGGAGGAGAGGAACTCATCCCTGACGTCCAGAGAAGGTTCGAGGTCACACAAACTGACCTCGGCGCTGGAGCACAACAAGATGTTGGAGTTCCCAGAAATCGCGGTGGACGGCACTGTTGGGATCTCCAAGTCCTGCAGGGAGGAGGCGTCTTGCGGACTTTCCTCTGGGAGTTTGCTGGCCGTTTCGGGAGTTGGAAGTGGCTGAGGAGACTCTGGAAACAGGCAGTCCAGCTCTTCAGGCAGTTGGCAGAGAGGTTTATGAGTGGCGAGAACGTATTCAAGCCTCTCCTTTTCCTTCAGGAGGTTCTCGATCTCAGTCTGGAGGGCCGCTTTGTCCTCTTCTAGCTGGTCTGTTTCCTGGAGAAAACAAAACTGGATTATTCATCCACAAACGGACAGATTTAAAGGAGCTGTTCACCCAAAAATAAGTCACTCGCCTTCATGTCGTTCCAAACCTTTATGGCTTAAAGTGATCTTTAAAATCACTCAAAAATCACTGTCATTAATTATTAACCATCATGTCATTCCAAACCTGTACGACTTTCGTTCATCTTTGGAACACAAATGAAGATATTAATGAAATCTGAGAGATTGAAAGTCTGTTCACCCAAAACTCTGATGCTTCAAAACCTTCATAAAGAGATTGTAAAATAAATGTTTATGAATCAAGCAGTTTAATCCAAGTTAACATTTAAGGGGTGTGTTCACATTAACGAATTGTCAGCACAATTTGGTGGGCAAAAATTCACATTTCCGGCTTTCTCAGAAGGTGAAATCGTCATAGTTGGGTAAATGTCTAGAGTGGTGAATGGGAGACGACAGCAAATATAATTTTTGCGTTCCCATTTGCCCCAATAGCAAATGAAAAAAGGGTCCATGGGTCCAAGGGTCAATAGTGTGGCGTTTATGAAGCACTGCTCACACAGACCAAGCATCTTTCAATTGATCAACGGAGTAAGTTAGTGTGACCAACTCGAACCCTGATGCAAAGCCTGCATGGGGAAGCGTTTCGCCCACATGTGAAAATCTTGACCATGTGGACGACACTGGATGCCTCACACATTCAAGTTAAGCTCTTACATTAAAAATAAAGGTGGATAAGCCCGTAAATATTGCTCTGTTTGTTTGAACCACACAACATCTGTGACTCAACCAATGACAAGAGTTTGGGCGAATGTCTGAAAACAATAATTATTTTCAATTTCATACTTAACCTTAAATTTGGGTCTGTTCTTGGTATGTACATCATATGTCTTCAGAAGCCTTGGACAATCCCATCAGGAACGTTCTCAGAACTTTAATGTTCTGGTCCCGCAAAGTTACGAACAAACGTTCTTCCAGTGACATTCATAGAATGTTCATCAGGGTCAAGTATGTTCTCAAAACGTAAAGGCACTAAAACATTATTTATACATATCCTGGTTTATGGAAGGTTTATTAGCCTATATCTGTCATTTGCTAGATGTTAACTGTTTCAGAACATTCCAAAGTAACGTTCCCAGAATGTTTGCAAAATGATCAAATGGAATGTTTCCGTAACGTTCGAATAACCGGGAAGAAAAATAAGTTTCGAACGTTCAGAGAACATTCAGAATAGCAACATTGGGCCTACAATGTAACATTTTGTGGCGCAAAACAGCGTCGTATGTGTTCATTTTTTCAATAGTGGGTGAGTAAACAGAGACAGAAGAGTGTTCGTGTGTTTGGATGAACTGTAGCTGTTCGGTCATGTTGTGGTGTGGTGTCTGTACTCACTGCCTGCAGGGTGTCGGTGAGTTCTCTCCGTCTATTGCGACACTTCGCTGCAGCCATTTTATTCCTCTCTCTCCTGATCCTCTTCTTCTCCTCTTCCTCCGGAGAGAGCTAGTCAAAGCAAGATGAATTGCACTTGTCATCTCGAAGAATCAGTGCGCGCCTCGCTAAAATGCTTGACTTCTATCGCCAATTATTCACGCAATGGCAAAAGCGTCTTTCTCTGCAATGCGTCTAAAAATAGTCTATTGTTGCAGACTCGCTGTGACCTGAATATAAATTGGATGCTGCTGGTCTAGGCAACACGCCAGAGCTAGAGCTGCATCCCCATCAATCCCATCCCATGCAGGCACATGCTTCACAGCCACAGACCAGCACGCGTGCCAGACATGCAGTGCACGCAGAAATACCTGCTCGCTCTTGCTCTTTCTGCCAGCGCATTTCCCCTTGCTCCCAGCGGTCTTGCTCTTTGCCGGCTCGTTGCTTTCGGCTCTTCCCAGAGACGGAGACCCAGACGTGATGACCGTGGGCTGGACCATCCACTGCAGGTCTGGCGTGCTGGAGATCGCGGTGACCGTCGGAACGAACGAGCCCGGAGACTCAGCATCCACGCACGAGCCCTGCGATGATGCGACGGAAACATATCTTATAGCTACATAAACAACACAACACTTATTTATACCAGGTCTCTTATTAATGCATGACTTAAAAAAAGAAAAGAAAAAAGTTTGCACTTATGACTCTTTCTTTAAATACACTCGAGCATCTAAAAATAGCCTCCTGATCAATATTTAACTTTTGCATTGTCTCTGACGTCAATGCTTACGCAGAGCTGCTGTGGGCTCTCCTCGCTGGATTTATTTTTTCAATGAACAGCTGCATCTTTACAATGCTTTACCATGTTTCACTGCATTGCAAAGGATGCGCAACACAACATCACATTCAACATCTGATAAACAGATGAAGCACCAACATTGCAATAGTGTGCTATAGCCTATTTAATTTAAAAAAAATATTTAATAACACTTCAGAATAATAGCCTTAAATGTTTAAATAAGAAACAATATAGTCTCCAATAATGCATTTGTATTATGTATTAGATATTGAACCACATGCATCGATCATGGCGTGGATGTTATGATGATGTATGGATGAAAGTGAAAGCATCATACCTGTGTGCTGCTGCTGTCCATCGGTCTGTGCGCGCGCGCGTCCCCGGCAGAAGAGGACGAGGAATCCGGATCAGAATTAGCTTTGCTCAGGAACATTTCTCCAGCGCAAACAGACACAACTATTGACAGGATTCCAGCTCTTCTGGTCCGAATCCCTCGCTTCGTGATGTTGCAGTCGCTCTCTCCAGGTTTATAAACCTGGTCAGTGACACTCAGCTCCGCGAGCTCTTATTTATAGTCCGCCTGAATTTTATGAATGAATCGGGCCGTACCATTCCGCGTTTGGGGAGCTGCTCTAAACGACATGCAAAGAAAAATAGTTTTCTGTGAGCGTTTTACATGAATTGTTATTCTTTAATCCATATCCAAGTAAAATGCCGATTGGAACAGATGTTACTGTAGTGAAGCTGCGCGCGCTGAATCGATGGCGAACCCCTGAGAGGACGAGACGTGGTGCTTGCCCACATATTCATTCATAAAATTCTGATGGACCCTGATATGCATAAAGTCCTTTTGAATAATGTATGACTTATTTTAAAACGCAATTATTTCATGCAAACTGATGCTCATATTCGACACTACAGTAGCCTACTGTTGTCATGTAATTCAGCTACAAAAACTCTTGAGTAGCTAATGCGAAAATGAGGGAGTGAAAGAAAGGCAAAAAAAGACATTGAACCAACTTTCTAGTTGTAATTATTATATTGATGATTATATTATTTGCGATCGCATATAATCAAGTGCATTTTAATGTGCGTCTCTATCCACGCCAGTCTCAGCATCTGCACCTGCTCACGCGTCACGCAGTGACGTAACACTGTCAAACAGGAAAATGTCCATATAAGGATAACTACGTGTTGGGATTCCAATAGCGTCTGGCTGCAGACAAGTGACGTCACTTGCACTCTCGGACTTGCACGCTCAGACACGAGCGCTTCCTCTGCAAGTGACGTCACTTGCACTCTCAGACACGAGCGCTTCCTCTGCAAGTGACGTCACTTGCAATCGACGCCTGATCTCTACGTAACGCGATCGTAATAGTCTTTAAACGAAACGCGTGAAATTTGACCGCGTCAACACGAAGTGTTTGTCCGCGGCAATTTTTTACGTGTTTCTTTTGAACGCGTAGACACGCTCATTTTGGTCGTGTTAAGGTGTCATTTGTCATTTTGTTGACAGTTTTTTTCAAATTGCTAAAACACTACAAGTGGAATTTGAGGCTCACTCAGTGAAACCATTCACTCATGTACCCAATCTTTAGACCAAGCCTGCAAAAATACAAGGACATTATATGCTTTGCACTCAGTTTGCATTTGAAAAACAAACTATTTGCAAAACTCTAAACACATTTCTCTACATTACACACATCATTCAAAACTAACAGCTCTTGTGTTTCATTTGGGAAACACTGGCATTTAAATGCCACATTAATTTACTGATGACCTACAGCCAATCATGTGGGAAAACACTTGTACATAAATTGATCACTTAGAAATCAAAACTCAGTTTTGAGAAAGAAAGAAATTATTTTTACTATTATTATATATTTAATTATTTTCAAGACATTTTGGACAATTTCATGCTCCTAACTTTGTGGGAACAGTTTGTAGATGTAAAACATCAAGATGATGCATTTTTTTTCTTTTTATTGTAAATGTCAATTTACAGTTATTACACACAGTTAATGTGCAAAACAGACAAATACAAGGTAGAAATAGACAATATACAACATATATAAAAACACATTAGCACATTATTCACTTTGCTCTAGTGTAGTTCGACAGTTTACCTTTAATTTCATGACATCGACTACATGTTCAAGAAACATTTGCATGTCATTCATTACAGTAAAGATGAAGCAAAAGGGTTCCAGAGCATCGATTCTGTCCTGTGGAAACTCAGCCTTCTCTAATCTCTCAATGGCTTCCGCAACGTCTTCTTCCTCCATACACTCTACTTTGGGCAAATGAACAGAACCATACAGTGCACTAGATTGATCCAAACACCACTTGCTGGCTATCTTCAAATCTGGCATCAATCGACTCTGTGAAATAACACGGAGAACAAGGGATTGCAAGTGACGCCACAGCCGGTAGCGGAGAGCAGGTGTCGACTGCAAGTGACGTCACTTGCAGCGGAAGCGCTCGTGTCTGAGCGTGCAAGTCTGAGAGTGCAAGTCTGCAGCCAGACCCTTCTCTGGGATTCCAGCGCTGAGCAATGCGCGCATGTGTCTGGGCTGAAGCTGCTGCTTGGTGTTTTGTGCAGTGCATTTGTGCTTTTCTCTGCAAAACGTGTTTAGACGCCCGTCAGTAATACAAATGAGCATATTGCGCAGATAGCAAAACATAACCAAACTGAAAAGGTTATAGCCGATATCTGAGCATGGCATTGTCAGACAGTTTCTTCACTGAAAGGCATAATGCTCTAATGTGAGTTTACAGTATTAAATAAAGTTTGTGACATTAAGGTGATTTATGTGATTCGTGTGGAACTGATGCGTTTTTTTTTTTTTTTTAAATAGCCCAACTCCCTATAATGCAAACTATTGTACAAATCACACCTGCAGACAAATGCGCACCTCCAAAGAGAACCTACCTTTAAAATGTAAAATATAAATTAATTGATTTTTAAAATGACTCCTGTAAGTGGCTCCCTCCCATGACCTCCGAATATGAACATGTCATTTAGTGAACTTAGTTGTCAGAAATGATACAGTAGCCTATACAAGGGTTGTGCAAAATGCAGAATTGAAGAACTGACTTACTTTCAATTTTCGATGAGTGTGAATTTTAATTGGCCACCCAAGAAGTTTAATACACTGTAAAACTGTATTGTAAAAAACGGCCAAGTTATCAGTAAATTACCAGTAACTCACCGTTTTCCATTAAAACAGTAATATACCATAGAAAACAATGCATATGGGTAACATTTTTTTGTTTTTTAATAAAGTAGCCTACTGCAATATAACTACAACTGACTGAAGATAAAATGCATTCAATTTCTCAAGATCTCAGCAGAGGACAATTAAACAACTCCACAAACAGCCACAATATTATTACTTTGACTTTATTTATGTGAGACATCTAAATAAGTTCTCATTGAGAATAATCAGAGGTTTAGATGCTGACGTTTTATTTAAAAATATAATGGATTTGTTTGAAGTCACCATTATGGTGAACAGAGTTTGCTTTTGTTGGGCTCTTGACCCTTGACTTTTCAACATCACTTTGTCTTTGGCTGATTTTGTGTTTTTAAAGCACATTTGTCAAGAAAAACCAAGAGAAAATACAGTCAGGTGATGTTGGTCATGTGTTGACTGTGATATAATCAACATTGAGTGGCCAGATTCACTGATCTTTCCAGAATCTAGTTTATATGATGTGTTGAATTTATATTTTTGATAGACATGTGGTTTTTACAGCATGAGAACCAGTAAAATTGATGTAATCAGTTATGTAGGTTTATAAAATCACATTGTGCACAAAGCATTTTGAACTGCTCTAAAATTCAGACACACACAGACATCAAGAATAAGCATATTAATCTCAACTATGGTGACATTAAAAGTTTCATGTCACAATACATGATGGGTACCATAGACATAATAAATAGATAGACGCCCTATTGGCCGCTTTGGAGCGTTGCTGCGATACGTCAACGGGTCCGCCATTTTGCGGAGGGCAAGACTGCACTGTAATCAAATGTAAGTAAACGGGTGAGCTGCGTTTTTTCTGGATAAAAACAAACTGTTTTTACATTTATCAACCGATTTCAGTGGTTTGTATGTGATGTACAAAAAGTTCCATCTCTAGTTATTTAAAATCTCGATAGTTAGACTTTTTTAATAAAGAATGGTCAAAGCTCAGGCTTGTCATGTATTTGGCTTTTTATTCTTGGATAAGAATGGTGAAGACCCCCATACTGAGATATAATTTTTCTTATTGTGGAAAAAGCATTTTCGGTGATTGACCAGATTTTAGCAATAACAAAGATAACTGATGGATCCTTTATGATAATACATATGTTATGGTAGGCTGCAACTATATGCAAATAGTAAATATAACATAAAGTGAGAAGTAATAGTAAATAGTCAATAAAATAAACAAATAGTATACAGCAAATAAATAGTATAATGAATAGTATAATTATATAATATCATAAGTACAATAATACAATCATAAAAATATTGATAATAGCATATAGTTTATTAATAATACTATAGAATATAGCAATAGAATAAGAAATATCAATTACAGAATATACACAATAAAAAATAAGTTAAATAGTGACATTTTAATATTTAACTCTTTTTGTTAAATTTCAGTTTTATAGATCAGTAATAGCCATTATAACAGAAGTAGCTTCAGTCAAACATACAGCAGGATACAACGTTAAATAGCCTAAATATAAAGTTATGAAACTTCACTTTGCCCTCAGCCAAAACGATTTACCAGGGAACCATTTATAGATTAATGAGACCAAAGATCGCCCGTTAGATATACACAAGACGAATTATATCTCATGTTTAACCACTAGACTACAGACCTCCGAGTCAGCGGCAAAACTTCAGAAGCACTGGCCGAGGTACGGCTGTTCCAGGCGGGGTAGACGAGCGCTGAGCGCATCTTACAACTCCGAAAACGTCAGATCAAATTTTTAAATAGACGCTATCTTTATAAACAAACCACATATTTGAGCTTTAAACAACTACATTGTCGACTGAAAAACTATTAAAACTACATTTCGTGACACAATAACAGTAGTATTTTTAAATTTAACCTCTGAACGTTACTATTACTAATTAAATCATGACCAAATACAACCAAAAACAAACGTTCAGTCTTGCTTGTGAAAGGTAATTCCTCGAAAGCTGTTTTCAATTGTGTGGCGATGTGTACAGCCCCAAGCAGCGCACAAAACAGGCATTTTTCTCAATTCCCGGTATGAGAGGTTAGGGAAAGTTGCCATCCCCAAAATGGCGGCGCCGTTGACGTAACCTGCAGCGGCCAATAGGGCGTCTATGTATTTATTATGTCTATGATGGGTACCAGCACAGGACAAAACTCACCCATGAATCCCAGCATGCATTGCAGCATGAATAATTTTATCACCATTGTTATGATTGGCTGACACCTTATTTCAAATCTTTTTGTCTATACAGTGTGTTTGAAAATTCTTCCTAATTGATTGTGGCGATGTCCCAATTGTGGTTATGTAAAGTTAAAGTGCATTAACAACATTACACTCTCAATAAAGCCCCTTCACACAGAGATTCTGGAAAATACACGAATAAAGCGACCCGGGATTTGACCCGGGTTCGTTGATTTTGGTTCATTCCGGAATCAGAGAGTGCGTTCACACACAACCCGTAAAAATCCCGTAAAGACACCTGACATCGATGTGACATGTAATGTCTCAGCAGTGTGTATAGTTTGCTTATGAGCTGCGATTTCTCTCTGGAGAAACCACGCTTGTGCATTTTGTTTCTCTGATTCGATCATAAACTAGCGCATTACGTACCGTTTCACTAGCCTGCTTTCACTTCACTTCAGCGTCA